AAAAAAAAAAATGATGAAATATTTCTAACCATTTGTTTACTCTATTGTGATTTTTGCTGGTGCCCAAGATTTAACCTTTTCCTTACAATATATTTTTTTGATAATGATACCTCATAAGTTCTAAGTGTCACTATCAAGGCTGGTATTATTAGACTTTTTGCCGCCACTATAAAATATAAATAACACAAGTACTGTCTGCTAAATTCATGAAATAAATAAATAAATTACTTACCTAAATTATCTGAATAGCTGATTTGTTGACATCATTTGTTTAACTAGAACTGGCACGCAGTACAATGTGTATCGTCTGAGAGACAGTTACAAAATGTTTTCATGGTTGCCAATGCCAAAAAATGCCATTGTTCATTAAGTCCAAACAATGGTGGTCGAATTCTATCAACTGATCAACAATGCGAACTTTGATAAGCAGTTCTTGATAATCAGTTCTCAATAATTACTTGTTATTATTAAAACTTAACATTATAAAATTAACAAAAATAATATAAAACTCATATCCTGGTGAAATAGCCACATGGCAGCGGAAAACTGTATATTCCCTTCCCGTTCTCCCACTGTTCCCTAGCTTGTCGTGTATTCTTTCCAAAAATCAGGACTTTTTTAAAAACGCCACAGGACGCAGGACAAATTGTTAAAAAGCAGGACGTCTGGTCACCTTATTTTTTTTCCTGTTCCAGGTTCATCTAGCAAGAAGCCTGTTCATCTTTTCAAAGAACCAACTTTTTGTTTCATCCAATCTTAGATTCTTTTGTTATCAGTTTCATTTAGTTCTACCTTAGTTACTATTTTTTTTATCTGCTGGATTTGGAATTGGTTTGCTATTCCTTTTCCTATTCCTTGAGACGATTCCCTCAATTGTTTGTGACCTTTCTGCCCTGTGGATATGGCCCATGTGGCAGTGAGCTTGTGTCTTAGGACTGCTTTTGCTGAGTCCCACAGATTTTGAGAACTTGTGTCCCCTTTATCATTTAGTTCAAAGAATCCTTTGGTTTCCATCTTAATTTCCTCGCTGGCCCAACTATCATTCAGCAATGGATTGTTTGGTTTGTGTGATTTTCTATAAGGATGAGTGTTTCTGTTTGGTTTATGTGATTTTCTGTAAGGATGAGTGTTTCTGTGGGAGTTGATTTCTAATCTTATTCCATTATGAACTGAGGAGGTCATATGGCATAATTTTTTTTTTTTTTGGCAGTTTTTGGTCGGAGCCAGGTTTGAACCTTCCACATCCGGTATATGGGGCCGGTGCCCCACTCCTTTGAGCCACAGGCCCTGCCTTGGTATAATTTTTTTTTTTAATTTATTTAGACGTGTTTGTGGCCTAAGATGTGATCAATCTTAGAGAATTTTCTGGGAGCTAATGAGAAGAATGTATTTTTAGTGGTCTGGGGGTAGAATGTTGTGTGAGTGTCTGTTGGGCCCGTTTGGTATGGAATTCTATTTAAGTCTTTTCTTTCTTTTCTGCTTGGAGGGTCTCTCTTGTTCTGTCCGTATGGGGTTGAAGTCCCAGTGTTATAGTGCTATTGTTTGTCATTTTGTTTAGATCAGGGAGGTTGGCTGAATGAGTCTGGGTGCACCTGTGTGTTATCTGTGTAAATATTTAGGGTTGTTATATCTTCTTACTGAATTATATGTGGTTTAGTGACCATCTTTATCTTTTTTTACATTTGTTGATTTGAAATCAGTGTTATCATTTGATTTCCATTTACATGGAGTGTTTGTTTTCTTTTTTTTTTTTTTTTTGAGACAGAGCCTCAAGCTGTCCCCCCTGGGTAGAGTGCTGTGGCATCACAGCTCACAGCAACCTCCAACTCCTGGGCTCAAGCAAGTCTCCTGCCTCAGCCTCCCGAGTAACTGGGACTACAGGCGCCTGCCACAATGCCCGGCTATTTTTTGGTTGCAGCTGTTATTGTTGTTTGGCGGGCCCGGGCTGGATTCAAACCCGCCACCTTGGGTATATGTGGCTGGCACCTTAGCCACTTAAGCCACAGGCGCAGAGCCGGAGTGTTTGTTTTCCATGCCTCTACCTTGAGTCTGAATGAGTCCTTGTGGGTTAGATGTTTGGTGGAGACAGCAGATAACTTGGCTTGTGTTTGTCGGATCCGTTCATCCAGGCTGTGTCTCATGAGTGGTGAAAGTAAGCCTTGATAAGTGGGGCGGATTCCTCTTGGTCCTGTTGAGTAGAACTCAGCTGCTTTGTTTTTCCTCTTGAGCCATTGTGTTGTCTCCTCTGACCGTCAGCTTTTGGGTGGTTTTACACTGGTGAGTGTTTGTTGTTCTGATCCATATTTACCTTTTCACGGAACTATCAAATTATTTTTATA